GATTTGTACATCTTGAGTAAAGTCAAATGATGCCGATAACACAGTTGTGCTATTTTTTTCAATTTAATGTTTATAATCGTTTCGGTAAAATACTGGCCTTTTGGAATTATATACTATTATTACTCAGGCAATAAAGAATATGCTAGTGGAAAGGCTCCGTTACTTTAGAAAATAGCCTTACATAATACATAGCACAATTCCTACAATGAATTAGCATAATACCAACTCTGCACGCCGCAGCGCCGCTAAGCGGGACAGTCCCTCAGCCTTGGGTTTATACCGCGTAAAGCGTTGGATTGGCCTTTGCACTACACTGTGAATAGCTTCTGCTGATTTGTATGAACTTGAAAGGGAACATTGGGAATTACTAAGGTTGATGCAAATCACCGTCACATCGAATTTGTCGGTGGTATGAAATAAGTAGGGAGCCAATAGCCATTGTTTTTCCGTGTCAGTTAGGAGCAAGTTCAATTCAAGATTGTGTTGAATAATACATTTTATCTCATTGAATTTGATATCTCCTATGCAACTCAACACGAACCAGCTTAAAACTTTTAAGATTTCAATTGATTTCCTTGATGCCCACTACCTGCTTTAGTGTCCGTCTTGCTGGTCACGTAGCTTTGGAGTCGCGGTTCAAGTCATCTCCAATATCGGCGACCCGTCTCGCTGGAAACACCGCTCCTTCCAGAAAACAGCCTCCATTCCGTCGAAGGCACGCTATGTGCGAATCAATAGGCGCGTCGAATGCCCCCGGCCCCCAAGTATCGATGGTTTTCTGTCTGGCGCCCAATGTCCACCTAGGTAGAGATAGGATGGGGAGAGAGAGAGAGGAGAGAGGGTACTGAGGAGAGAGTGAGTAAACCCAGCGGCTGACCAGACTGTCGTGTCGAGGAGGGGACCTGGCAGCCGCCGACGGAAGGCGAGGGGAGAATGGAGAAGATAGGGATGCGAAGAGACTATTAAGCACCCCCAGTGTTCAAGATTGGGTAGGAGGAAAAATAAATGTTAGCGGTGATATCAAAATATTGAATAGTTGATTTTTGGTTCCTTTCAGAACAGTGTGCAGGCTGATATAGTGTGGACACTGTCTGGGAAGCATAAAAACGAGGCATGCAAGTGTGTAGGGTATTTTATAGTGAGCAGGCTGCTGACGGCCGTTTCTTTTACTGTCCGCTACTTCCTCTTTTTCCTTTTCGCATTTCTCTGTCTCTTCCTGACGGCCCTCTGTCACCCGCTCTTTCCCCACTCCTCTCAGCACTCTGCCCTCCATTCCTGGCAGCTCTGCGGTCGCACAGGCCTCTCTCTCCACCACCCGAAGCGGTCGCCTCGGTTCGACGACCGTCTTTGTACGGTGTGATCCGGCCAGTAATTGAAAATTTGGCCGTAAGGTCGCCCGTTTACAGCGGTTGTTACTGCGGCGCGCGCGGCTCTGACCCGGCCACTGACGGTGCGTCTCGGCAGCACACCGTGCCGTGGTGCCATAGGGCGATGCCATGTCGCCGGCCGGGCGCAGATGACAGCTTGACCCGCTGTCTGTCATGGTCGTAGGTGACAGCTGGACCGTCTGTCTGTCATATGACGCAGATGCGTCTGGCGTTCGTGATAAACGGTCTTTGTAGACCTTCCGGCTGGTGACATTTTCTTTGTTAAATATTTTCCTGTCGTACTATTTGACGACAGCGTACCAGAACTATTTTTTATTCAAATCCACAATTATTTAGCGTCCTTTTCTCGTGATTGCATTAAGCTGTTTAGATTTGATTATGTCCAAATTTCAGGAGCGTTTCCAGCTTTTAACCCGCGCGGGGCTGGGGGGGGGGTAAATTTTACCCCCCCCTCGCGAATTTTTGCGATATCTGAAAAACGGCGGCGCGCAGCGCCGCCAAACTTTCTGTACCTTTTCTTACATCAATTTGACACGTTCCCTGAAAATTTGAGCGAAATCCGTCGGAAAATTTTTGAGAAATTGACGTTTTAGTGACGTCATGTTCGCCATTTTCGCCTCAAAAACGGCAAAAGTTCAAACGCCGCTAACATCTTCATTTTTAAAGGAATCAAGACGTAACAAAAAAGGTTATACGTGATTCTACTTTGTCTATCAAATGGCTATCTCGGTTTTTTGAAAATTTTGGATTTTTTCCTAAATTTTTTCAAAAAACTGACTTTTTTGGGAAAATCATTATAAAATCCAAAATTTTGAGTCTATCGAAAAAACCGGAATATATGTCAGAGAAGTGGTCTATGTGCACCTACATACCAAATTTTAGAAGAATCGGTTCAAAAATGTGGGAGTTATTCAAAATTTTATGACGTCACGACACACAAATTTTTTGAAAAATGACTTTTTTGGAAGTTCTAGACCTCGTACGAAAACAAAAATAGCACCATTCGATTCGCCGTGAAAAACTGCATCAGATAGACACCTTTTTTGGCCTTAACAACCATTTTCAAAATTTGACCTCACTTGACCTGACCTTGACCTGACCTCGACCTGAAATTCATCCAGAGGTGGTCCATATCACTTATTGAGTGTGCCTATTGAATTCTATGAGTAAAATGACCCATAAAACATGTGTCGCACATGCCCTTTTCTATATTTTGTTTTTTGGTGACCTGACCTGACCTGACCTGACCTTGACCTTGACCTCTGAATGATATTGTATGCAACGAATATTGTCTTGGTAGCCTAAGAACACGTTTTGGGCGATCAGTCTCAGTCCATGACTCCATTCTTCGGCAACTACGGTGCAAGGCCGATACTGTAGAAACTTGCAATTTGTACCCTTGACCTGACCTTGACCTTGACCTCAAACTTTAAATTAAGTACATGTTTTTAGTAGTTCGTGATGAGAGCTTTCGATTGGCGTTTGAATTTTCCAAATCGGACCATTAGTTCGGGAGATAACAGGGGGGTAAAATTTACCCCCCCCCCAGCCCCGCGCGTTCGGCTGGAGACCCCAGCCCCGCGCGGGTTAATCCGTCTTGAAGGTAGGCTGCAAGTTATAAGTTGTAAATAATTTGTTTTGAACACATGTTTGTTTAGTATGCACTCATTGTTCACTTCTTTAGAACAACGATATGGGGTCCTGGGCAACTTCTTAGTTCCAATCAATTTTCTCTAGGTATCTAGTCATAGGTAAAGCAGTCTTTGCTTTTAAATGAGAGTGTAGACACTAGACTTGAAACTTCAATGAGAGTTGTGATAGTTTGGAGTGAAATGAAATAAGAATTGTGTTTCAGCTTTGATTGCTGTTTTCTTGAGTTACATATAGCAACCTCTTTACTGCGACATTGTTTTTGTTTGCTCTTTTTCCTTTCGATGTCCTCTTTCCGAAAGTACCTAAGTTTTATTTGTCGGTTATTTTGTTTGTATGGTTTGTAAGTTTTATTTTCCTTGGCTGGTGCAGCTTTCAATTCGTGTGGGATTTACGTCAACTTCGTTGGATAAAATGCTTTAAGACTTATACAAATATGAAAAACACTTAAAACCTGTATGGTTTATCGTCGACACAAGGTAAGTCTTACTTTCGGCGGTCGAATTCTGTGTAGCCGTCTTTGACGAGGTCCTCTTGGGGAACTATTCTGATTTTGTGTAGGTGGTATGGTCCTCATCGTCCCTTTCTCCCATGGTCGCGGACCCTTCCGTTCCAGATTTCGGCCTCCATTGGCCGTTGTTTATCACCTTACAGCTGCCATCGACCCCATGTCAAACCCTCTTAAGACTCGGATTATGACCGCCCCAGCCCATGACCTCAGGACACGGAGCAGCGGGCGGCTCACGGACGAGCCGGGGGTCGCGGGGTGCGACTCCGCCTCCCGGGTGTCGGGTCAGCCGGACATCCCCGCAGGCTATATTGAGGTCATCGGGACGGTGTCAGTTGTTTATGGTTATGGGGTTACAGGACGCGGGCCGGATACGATTGAGGTAGCTGGCGTGGATTACCACCGACCTGGAATTAGGATTCCGAAGTTCACATACATTTGAATAATCAGGTAGATGATCGGCTCAGAGATTTTGTGTAGCGTGACACTACTGTGTGCCTGTAGGTATATTTTACAGGTTAGCACGTCTGTTCAACAAGGTCTAACTTTACGTCAAAGTTAAACACATCCATTCTAAAACGACGACATGAACATTAGTCATCTGAAACGACATAAGCTTAGACGTCATGCTACTTCTCTGTCACAAGAAGGCGCAACTACGACCGAACCACTGTCATCCCCTGTCGACCTGCTATCACGCCTGGCGGTGGATGTTGCAGCGTGTCTGTCATGTTGACCGTGTGGCGGTGTGGGCTCCGGATCAGGTGGTGTGTGGAGGCACGATTGATCCAAACCAACAGAGCAGGCTGACGTCAGCGCGGCAACTTGTTGGTGCGATCCCAACTTCGCGGCAGGTCGGCAGCAAGGGCTGAATTAGGGAAAGCCAAACCGGATCCTTAGATGCGGCTTTGAAGCATTGTGCTGCCTTGAGCGCCGTCTATTTGCTGCATGTGCTGGTCGTGTGACCGCTCGTGTGACCGCTCGTGTGACCGCCCGGGCCGCCGCTCGGCGCAGCTGACCGACCGAATGCCTGGGGGCGGGGTCGAAGGTCGGGGAGCTGCGCGGTCGAGACGAACCGCCGCTGACCGACTGATGGTCACTCTCTGACCGGCCGTGATCCAATACAGTCCGTCTGATGAAGAAGTGCTTGTGAGTGAGACGGCGGCAACATAACAGTGGCGACGAGAGAGGAAGAACTCAGAGAGGAAGAGCTCGGTAAAGTATGCCTGCTCACGGCAAACTGGAACCGTTTGATGCGCAATCTGAGATACTCACTGATTATTTGGAAAGATTTGAGTTTTACTGTGTCGCTAATGAGGTCCGGTCAGAGAGTAAGAAGAAAGCCATATTTTTGTCTTCTGTTGGTCAGTCCACATTTGAGAAAGTCAAGGCTCTGATTAGTCCTCAAACGTTGGACGCGGCTTCTTTTGAAGAGATCAAGAATGTTTTGAAGGTGCATTTTAGTCCAGCAAAGATTGAGATCGCAGAGCGATACAGATTTTTTCAAAGGAAACAAAGCAGTGAAGAATCTGTTGCCGAATATATAGCTTCTCTCAGGAAGCTCGCGGTTCACTGCAGTTTTGGATTATATCTTGATACTGCGCTACGTGATCAATTCGTGTGTGGACTGAATGATGCCAGGTGTCAGAAGGAGTTGCTTTGCGTGTCGTCACTGTCGCTGCAGGATGCAGTTCAGCACGCCAGGTCATATGAAGCGGTCGCCAGGGAGTCCGCGGCGATTCACCCGACGCAACCGACTTCAACGGCAGATCCGACCCATCACCAGGTGGAGTTTGTATCTGCTGGGTCTCGAGGCAGATCATGTTTTCGATGCGGTAGCTCAACCCATCTTGCGAATCGTTGTCGGTTCATGCGTACTGTCTGCTTTGCGTGTGGATTGCGCGGTCATTTGGCAGCCGTCTGCAGGAACCCGGGAGCGGGCGCTGCGGCGGGTGAGGTGCTGCCGCCTGGTGGCCGACCCGCGAGTCGCGGTGACCCGACCGGCGGCCGCAGTGGCCCGGCCGGCGGTGCCGAGGGAGGGTCGCGGCCTGGACCGTCCGGTCGGGAGGGGGCGCGGTCAGGCCTTTCCAGTCGACCGCTCGGAAGAGGACCAGTCACAGCGGACAACAGGCACCAGAAAGGAGGAAGATCCGGTGGACGAGAGGTCCATCAGACTGGAGAACTGGAAGAGGACTCTGGAGATGAGTATTCGGTGCTCCACACCCATCAACCCCGAGGCGGTAAGTTGATTACGACTCTGATAATCAACGATAAGCCGCTAGAGATGGAGATAGATACGGGTGCAGAAATCACTACGATTCCAGAGCATGTATTCGAGAGAGTGTTTGGGTACGACTCAGAGCCACTGGTAGCCACAAAAAAGAGACTGTCACAGTATGATGGCACGCCATTGACCGTGTGTGGAGAGATGCGTGCTCATGTTCAGCACGATGACCAGCAGTTCACAGGTACAGCTTTGGTGGTGAACGTGCGTAACAAGTACCCGCTACTAGGCCGTGATTGGTTGTTCCGTGTAAAGCTGGACTGGAATAGAATATTTCACGGACGTGACGTTCACACAGTGTGCATGTCTGCTTCCCAGTTGCAGGAGAAATATGAAGATGTGTTCGCCGATCAGCTGGGGGAGATCAGAGGCATCGAAGCTGACATCGAGCTGGACGACAATGCCAGACCACGGTTCTTCCGGAGCCGGCCGGTACCGTTTCCACTGAGGGAGAAGGTGAACCAGGAGCTCGACAGGCAGCTGGAGGAAGGTGAGCTCTACCCGGTACAGGAGAGCGAGTGGGCCGCACCCTTGGTAATTGTCAAGAAGCCGGGAGGAAATGTGCGGATCTGTGCCGACTTTAAAGTCACAGTTAACAGATATGTCAAACAGCAGTCGTATCCGCTACCGACTACGGAGGAGATGTTTAGCTGCCTCTCGGGGGGAGAGTCGTACACAAAACTGGACTTAGCAAACGCATATAAACAGCTACGCGTCTCGGAAAAAAATCAGGAACTGCTTACGGTCAATACGCCACGAGGGCTGATGCGTCACCGGAGGCTGCCATTTGGCCTGAATATTGCTCCCAATATTTGGCAAAGAACGATGGATAGCATTTTGCAAGGTCTGAAGGGTGTCGCGTGCTATCTTGATGATATTTTGGTGACCGGATCCTCTCGTCAGGAGCACGTGGACAACCTCGAACAACTGCTCAGTCGCCTTCAGCAGTACGGTGTGCGGCTGCGCCGCGAGAAGTGCCGCTTCTTCCAGAGGTCTGTGGAGTTCTTGGGATACACTCTCACCACCGAGGGAGTGCGACCGAGCGAAAAGAAGGTGAGAGACGTGCTGGCAATGCCGGCACCAAAGAACGCCAAGGAGCTGCTGACATTCCTGGGTATGGTCACATACAACGCAAAGTTCCTTCCTCATCTGTCCACCGTCCTCAGACCGCTGTACGATCTCACCAAGAGAGATACCGTGTGGAACTGGTCCCCAAAATGCCAGGAGGCATTCTCTGAGGTAAAGTCCATGCTCGCAGACGCTGGCTGCTTGACTCACTACGATCTGGGTAAGCGAGTCAAGGTGTATTGTGATGCCTCGGCGTACGGCCTGGGAGCATGTATGGTGCACGTGGACGGGTCGGGGGAGCGTCCGATCGCGTTTGCGTCTCGTACACTGACAGAGGCCGAGAGAAAGTATGCGCAAATAGAGAGGGAGGCACTGGCCATAATCTTTGCCGTCAAGCGGTGGCATCAGTACTTGTGTGGCCGCTCCTTCACGCTAGTCACCGACCACAAGCCGCTGTGTCACATTTTCGGACCACACACACAAGTTCCGTCTGTGGCTGCAGCACGTCTTCAGCGGTGGGCACTCATTCTGAGCATGTACCAGTACGATATAGAGTATCTGCCGGGCAGTCGGAACGTAGCTGCTGATGCCCTCAGCCGACTGCCGGGGCCAGATACATGTGATCGAGCCGTGCATGTGTTGGAGGACGTTGAGGAGGGCTGTTGTGCCGTTGATGACGTCTTGCCTGTCACTGCAGCCCAGGTGGCGTCTGCCACCGCCAAGGATCCGGTGCTCAGCGTGGTGCTCGGCTGGGCTCGAACCGGCGCCTGGCCCGGGCACGCGAACGACAGCCGGTTGAAGCCGTACCTGCAGCGGAGAGAGCAGCTCACCGTGATCGACGGCTGCGTACAGCTCGGTGAGAAGGTAGTCATACCTGACAGATATAGAGCTCAGCTACTGAAGGAGCTTCATGAAGGCCATGTTGGCATTCATAAGATGAAGTCACTGGCTAGGGTGTTCCTCTGGTGGCCAGGGCTAGATGCAGATATTGAAAAAGTATGCCGTTCGTGTCCGTCCTGTGTCGAGAACGCGAACATGCCCAAACCAGAGAATGTACACCCGTGGAAATACCCAGTTCAGCCTTGGGACAGAGTCCACATTGATTTTGCCACTTTTGAAGGAAAAACCTACCTTTTGCTCGTTGATGCTTACTCAAAATGGCCAGAAGTGCGATACATGTCTAGCACAACGGCTACTAAGACCATCGAAGTGTTGACGGACATTTTTGCAACGCATGGTTTTCCGGTGACGTTGGTGTCAGACAATGGCCCGCCGTTTACCTCTGGAGAGTTTCAGAGCTACCTGGCAGCGCGAGGTATTCATCACCGTCTGACACCGCCGTACCACCCAGCGTCAAACGGGCAGGCGGAGTCTCTGGTACGTACCTTCAAAGCTTTCCTCAAGAGGTATGCAGGACCCAGACCCACAGCAGTAGCACAATTTCTGGCAAAATACAGAACGACTCCATGCGTCACAACAGCCCGGGCACCCGCCGAATTGCTTTTTGGGAGACTGCCTCGGACAAAGCTCTCGCTCCTCAAGCCCAGTGTTGCAGCGCGGATGCGACATGAGCCTGTCGACACTGTCTCACGATCATTTCTTGCAGGTCAACCTGTCTTGGTTCGAGATCTGCGGCCAGCAGCTACCGAGAAATGGCAGCGCGCTGTCGTCGTCGCCATTGGAGGCCCACTGACGTACAGCGTGCGGCTGCCGGACGGTCGCATACGTCTCGCCCACGTGGATCATCTGCTGGCCGACGGCTCTGCTTCTGTGACGGCTGAGCGTGGGCCCCTCGATGCGCGGGTGACGGTGCCGCCTCCGACGGAGCCGGGAAAGCTTCGCGGTCCAGCAGTGCCATGTGTGATGGACGCTAGGGGGCGTTTTCCGTATATCAGTGATTATAATAAGCGAGCAACATGCGAGGGCAATCGTGGTGCGCGTGCATCAGAGCCGGTAGAAGCGGTGCCGGCCTTGCGGCGCTCTGCTCGGCTGGCTAAAAAAACTTGTTAAAGGGGGAGGAGTGCTGTGAGCGCCGTCTATTTGCTGCATGTGCTGGTCGTGTGACCGCTCGTGTGACCGCTCGTGTGACCGCCCGGGCCGCCGCTCGGCGCAGCTGACCGACCGACTGCCTGGGGGCGGGGTCGAAGGTCGGGGAGCTGCGCGGTCGAGACGAACCGCCGCTGACCGACTGATGGTCACTCTCTGACCGGCCGTGATCCAATACAGTCCGTCTGATGAAGAAGTGCTTGTGAGTGAGACGGCGGCAACATAACAGATTTTTTCGTAGATCCAAAGATTTTAGGAAGTACGCAGTATTTTAAGATAAACGGCACTTTTAAACCCTTTGACATTCATTGAGAAAGTGAGATATTTGCCTACTTTCTTTAGCTGGGGGCTCATTTAGTTTGGGGTCACCGGTATGGAAAATGTGTTATGTTCTTAATTACTGTAACACATGTCTCCCTGCTTAGCAATCACAGATATTATAGCATTTGCTTACTATGCAGATTTTCCATCAATCAACGAAAGCACGACCAAGTTCACATAATCTTCAACCAATCAGGTTATCGGAAGGTCATATACATACACGGGGACTCAATAACACCAAGTCCTCTGGAGGCATTATTTGGCAGCCGGCCTCGATAAAGTTGGCCGATAGAGCCTCCCGATGCAGGTTAGAACACACATTCTCCCGTAATTGCATTCCTATTGGTTCTCACGCGCTTACATTAAGCTCTTGCCTTCAGCGCCGCTAAAAGATGGGCTTGGAAATGGGAAATATTCCATTACGGCACTCAATACGTTACAGAGGCAGCAATCGAGTGGTCCTAAATTTTCTGAATCTAAAAGCCTGCTAAAAGCAGGCCAATGTTTTCTTACGAAACAAGAGAGCGGCAGGGGTGAACTGTGGCGATGCATAAAACCAGTTATCTCTGGTAAACAGGCGGCCAGACCGATGCCCAGTGCGGACTGTGACGCAGTCAACAGGTACTTTGCCAGTGTCGGGACCGTGACAGCGCGGCAGGTGAACCAGTCGGGCCCCGATCTGCCGGTGCGTCTGCCTCGCGTCACGACCGGCGGATTTCAGGTGCACACAGTAACACCTGAAAGAGTATTTACCACCGTGGCCCAGATGAGCAACAGTTCGGCTTGCGGCGCTGACGGTCTGTGTCTCAGGTTCTTGAAACTGTGTCTTCCAGCCGTATATCATGTAATCACCCACATTGTTAACTCTAGCCTGGCGTCACACACGGTCCCTCAGCCCTGGAAACTTACTGTCATCCACCCTATTCAGAAAACCCCAAAATCCACTGAAATGACCAACTATAGGCCAATCTCGATACTCCCTACGATAGCAAAAATCACGGAACGCATCGTTTACGAGCAACTGTTTGAATATTTCACTTCGCATCATCTATTTACCCCGCATCAGCACGGGTTTAGAACCGGGTTCTCCACGGAGACCGCCCTGCTGACGATGACGGACCGTGTGTTCGAGGCGATGGACCGGCGGCAGGTAGCGCTACTGTGCCTATTAGACCTATCGAAGTGCTTCGATGTCATCCCCCACGACAGGCTGCTGATCAAGCTAGAGCAGTATGGTGTCGACACGAGATGGTTCGCGAGCTACCTATCTGATCATTACCAGCAAGTGCTGATCCGCTCGCAGAACGGTCGCAGTGTGCTCTCGCGATCAATTCTGAATCCTATTGGTACCTATCAGGGATCGGCCCTCGGGCCCCTTCTTTTCAACATATATGCGACTGACATGTCTCTGTACCTTCCCGACTGCGCCAATCATGACAGGTGTCTGGTACAGTATGCGGACGACACACAGTTGGCGGTGATGGGAAGCCCTCGTGATGCAGCAGCGATAGTTCAGAGTCTAGAACAGGATTTAGCGGCTCTTTCAGTCTGGTTCCAGAAAAACGGTTTAAAAGTGAACGCTAACAAAACGCAACTAATAACATTGGGTACCAAGCAAAATCTCCGTCAGTTACCGCCAATAGAAGTTGAATTTATGGGTGCTAAGGTTACGGGATCCCTCACTGTTCGAAACTTGGGGGTCACGTTTGATCAGAGTCTGTCTTTCTCAGATCACGTGACCGATGTCGTACGGCGTGGCACTGGTATCCTGAGCGGTTTAAGCCACAGTAGACACTCGCTGCCCAGGGACACACTGACAATACTGGTGCAGGCTCTGGCGGTGTCTATTGTCCGGTATTGTATCAGTGTCTATGGCTGCTGCGGTGTGACCCAGCTGTCCAGAGTTCAGAAGCTACTGAACTTCGGTGCTCGGGTGGTGTCTGGCCGACGTAGGTATGACCATGTCAGCGATGTCATGAAGACCCTGAAGTGGCTCTCTGCTGAGAACTTGTGGCGGTTTCATTCGGTGACTCTGCTCAAGAGAATGCTAGCTACGGGACAGCCTGAGTCGCTGCGTGAAGGCATTGTTACCCGCCGCAGTGTTCATGGTAGGGAGACCCGCCAAGCTGACTTTTTCGAGACCCCAGCGATCCGCACAGAGTCAGGCCGCCGACGGTTTCTTTATTCAGCCGTGACAACATACAACTCACTGCCACCAGCCGTGCGAGGCCTGGGGCCGCGGCAGTTCAAAGCCCAGTACCGAGCACTGCTACTCCGAGAGCAGTATGGCGATGAGGACCCGTGAGTGTGTTTTGTATGCGTGTGCTAAGAGCGAATGTTTTATCCATCACATCTTCCAAATGACATGACGCCCGGAATAGCCGTTCTCGAATGGATGGGTTTGTCGCGACGTGAAATAAATAAATAAATAAATAAATAAATATATGGATGACAACAAATAGTCAAAAAGCGGTCCCTTCATTTGCACCGTGTTATGTAGTTTTGTTGCAATGTCTTAAAAAGTGCTTATCGTTGAATGTCTTCAAATTGTTTAGTGTTGTTAAGTGTTAACACATTAATATGCAACAGTCCTCTTTGCTCTGCCTTGAAACGGTTACTTAGCATCCTACCTCTGAATAATATTGCATTCAAAAGAAACGCTGCGTGTTTAATGGATTGCGGCGATGGGCGATGAAAACAAACGCATCGCCTACCCTTGTCTGTTTTCCAGAGCACAGCAATGTTCTTTCTGTCTCGATACGCTTGATCACTTGACTGATTTGTTTTTTAATTGGAAAATTTTATAGATGCATAATGGTTCGAGATTCATGCACTTATGCATTCATATGCTGTATGCATTGTATGGGTATGCATAGCGCAAATTGGTAGCGAAAACGTAACTGCTTGGTGCTTGCTTGCTGGAAATGTGGCAAATTACGTTTTCGATGGGTAGCAGTTGAATGCTATTGATGATAATTGATCATTATGAACTTCTTTGAACCCTCCCTTACGTTTTCATTTAGTCATTACATTTACTTCTTCGCTCAGGACAACTAATTGGCTTGGTTTCAGCTGGCCCATGCCCTATGGCCAATAGCATGATTTTTTTTATTATTACCTGCAGCTGCTCACGGAAAAATATCCATGTTTTCTTTTTAACATATAACTGTTTCCCATAATGTCTATTTCCTACATTCGACTCTTACAAGTAAGTATTTTCTGACAAAATGTTTCCGTTTCCTGGTGCTGTCCCGTCTCCGTCGCTCCATCATCCATTTCTGGGAATCCTTCATCATCCCTCCTTCCCCGGACTGCGCGCAGCCGTCAGCCCGAGCAATACCATCTCTCGAAGCGCTCAATAGGCTGTCGCAGCGTATTCGGCCGGCACTGGTCTCGGATGAATGGGACACTGTTGTGCACTGTGAATGGTATCGACTCTCCTCAGGGTAAGGGGTATTTGCGACAACAACAGACGCTCGGAAAACAGCTTGTTATCGGGTCTTTGGAGGCAATACGGTCGCAGCCGGCTGCAGATATGACCCACAAAAAATATACGGCGCTGATGTTGTAGAAGCTCAGCACTCGGCGGAGCTTCTCGGAACTGAATGGGAGATGGAGCATGTCGAGATCAGTTTGACGTCAGTGCCCGACCTTTTTTTCATGTCTAGGTGGATGTCTCTTGACTAGCATTCCCGGATGAATTTATTTTTCGGCGCGTACCAGTTAATTTGACTGGGCATTGGATGCTACTTGTCGTCTTCTTGTGTAGGCTGTTAAGTCCCCAATTAACCCTCGCACCGACACCACCCTTGTGGCGCAGTTGGCAAGTGCGTTCACGTTTGGTGTGGGAGGTCCTTGGACCAAAGCTGACCTCTGGCAGCGTTTTCCTCGGCCGGCTCCTACCCAGGAGATGGCAGTAACTGGGGAGTGTTCGCTCGGTCGTGGGGATTACCGCTGTGCCAGCCAGCGCCCCCGGCCGCAGGTACACGGGCCTGATCCGCCTTTAAACAGATCCTTCGGTCCGGTGACATGTCCCGAGGGCACGGCCTCGCTTCATGTCCCGGAGCAGCCCTCTGACCTGCCGGGCCCGAGAAATCGGGATAGCCCCAGCGTGCGCACCAGTGCGGTGCCACCTGGGGTGCGTGACAGGAAGCGTGCGGTCAAGGCTGTCCCGCGTAGCGGGTGCCGAAAACGATTCGTACCACTGCCGTGTATATAGTGTACTAACCCAGTATGAATGTGTGCTACTAACGACAAAAGCCCGGGTCGGGCAACAAAATTAAAAAAAAACCCTCGCACCGACGGGGGGGGCGGATATCCGCCCCCCCCCTGAGGTTTTTCACGAATAGCGGGAAAACCGCGGCGCTACGCGAAATTTGGTATGACTATAACCTCATCAATTTTACACATGGTGTGCAAGTTTGAACCTCGTACCTTTTAAGGTCAGGTCACCAGGTCACTTTGAATGACCCAACCTCAAGTCACTTTTTTGCAACTTTGTCACCGTGCCAGAGCTACAGTAGATGTCGGAGGCCTTTGAAAGTCGCAGGATATTATTAGGTCATTAGTAGCTACAATTTGTATATCTCGGAATTTTGATATCGGTGACCTAAGGTCAGGTCAATTTCGCGACCTCCCCATTATAAGTCAATGGGGGAAAAATCAACTCCCTGTTTTTACCACTAAAACGGGTCGGAATGGCCCCAAATACCATACATGACTTCATATACGATCAACCTTCACTACCTTGAGGTCTGTTTTGCTGTTAGGCAGCTGTGAGGTCATGTGACGTCATCAAAGGTCACCAAAGGTTTTTGGCCAATAACTCCGTACAGGAACAAGATACAGACGCGTGGATGGTCTCATTGTGTT